TTATTTCGTATCTAACTTCCACTTCAGCCACTGTCTAAATAGAAAGGTGAATCAGCATCTAACATGTTTTGGGATAGCTTTTCCCGATAAATTTTATCTGTCCCAGTCGAGAACATTTTTGGAGGCACCTCACCAACATCAGATACATGATATAGAAATAAAGGAAAGTTATAGTGCTAGGAAGGAGGTAATTCCAGGAGAAAGAACCTTGGAAATAAACTCGGAAAAATTTTAATTAAAATGTTTGACCTCGCTGGGATTCGAACTCACGACCCTCGGATTTGTACTACCGTTGCTCTTGTAGCTGAGCTACAAGGTCAAACTGGGAGCAGGTTGGGGTGAACATCAGATGGGTCTGCTTCGGTCCTTGTTTAGTTTGCCTTTCCCTGTATTCTAAGGATTCTTTTCATTGTGAGTCAGTGATACGTTTGACATCTCCCCAGGTCATTTGCCGTCCGTTCTTGGCGGCCACGTAGATCAAAATGGACGGTGTTGTTCAACCACAAAGTATTCACGAGCGTTCAGTTTATGGAAACGCCGAGGAGATCATTTTTCGGATATTTCAACCTCGCTAATCGGTGCAGCAGCTTTATCTTTGTTGCCTTAATTTTCCTGCCTTTTTAAGTTCCTTTTCTGAGAGATTTTTGATTGAGTTCAAAGTCTTGTTAATACTTAAAGGATATTTGTTTATCAGACTTCTAAGGCTTGTTTGCTCATATTCCTCTCCATCCTTTCGTCTAACTGAGCAATAAAATCAGCTAGATATGTATCTGTCTCTTATGGCTGTATTTCGTGAACTTTTTTTTCCTCTCTTTCGGTTTTGCTTTTGGTATTTTTGTTCTGCAGACTTAATCCTCTACTGTTTTTTTAAGAGTTACAAAGTTACCTTCCATGTATAGATATTGAGAGGCCTCCTTGTAAGTAGATGAAAACCGACGGCATGAGAGTAGAATCGTCAAACGCTTGCGAGCGACCAAACGTTAAGAGCTAAGAAGTCTCTCAACTACAGTATCGTAAGTCCAATCAGAACAGTGAACTAAGTTTCTTCATGGTGAAAACATCGTTCGTTTCTCTGATTAATCTAGTTGACCTATCGAAAATTTCTTGAATACTGTTACACTGAATATGTCTCAGTATGCATATAATAGAAAAAGTTATTTTGGCCTTTAAAAGTCTCGTTTTATATGTGAGGATTGATATCACAAACGAGCGATAAAGAATTAAGACCCATCTGATGCACTGGGTGAATGAACCGCGGCTTTCTTGTCGAGATATTTCCACCAGACCCTTTTTGTTATGTACTCTCTCATACAGCCTTTTTCACAAATTATGAGACATTTTTATATATATAAATATACCTAACCAAATATMAAWARCAMCCCAGAAATTATGGTATATCTCTATTATATTTTGTCATGATTGCCTAGCATCAGGTTGTTACAGACAAAATATCAACGACGGTATCCCATAATTTCTTGGGTGTTTTTGATATTTGGTTAGGTATATTTATATATATAAAAATGTCTCATAATTTGTGCAAAAGGCTGTATACGTAGTAAATATTGCTATATTTTGTCCTTGAAGTAAAACCAAATTTATAAAAACTTTCGATCGTTTCATGT